GAGGCCATACATAGGGTTACATAGTCTGCATGACACATCAATCGGAAATGGAATGAGATTAATCAATTTTGCAGCAGCAAAAAACCTTAGGATAGTACTGTATATTTCCCACAAAAGAATGTCCATAAGATGTCTTGGAGCTCCCCAGACCAGGCAACAATTAACCAAATTGATCATGTCTTAGTCGATGCAAGACACAGATGTACAATATAGTGGAAGATGTCAGAAGTTTAAGGGGAGCAGAAATCGGATCACTTCAAAGTATTAGTCAAGATTCGTCAGGGAATATCATGTCCCATGAAGAGCAAAAAAGAAGGTAACTTTTCGAATAGATTTAAATTTGATGAAGGATAAAGTCAAGAAAGAACAGTTCACAATTGCTTTGAACAACAGGTTTACAATTTTAGAAGAGAAAGAGAAAGCTGATGTTGAAAAAAAATGGAAAGTAATTAAGGACAGCCTAAAAGAAACAATGGAGGAGGTTCTGAAACCTGAAAAGCAAGGATTGACAAAAAAGGAAACTTGGTAACAGATGAAGAAAAGGCTTTAGGAGAATGGAAGAAGTATTTTGAAGAATTGTTGAATAGTGACAAGATAGTGACAGTCTGTAATGGATGATCCAAATTTGGAAGAGGTCAGGTTAGTGATCAAGAAGATGAAGAAAGGGAAGGCCCCAGGAATTGATAACACACATGCTGAAATACTGCAGGAGGTAGGAGACACACTTCATAGGAAGATGCACCATATCATAAATTAATCTGGGGAAAGGAAGTAATTCCTGATGAATGGAAGGAGTCTTTTATATGTCCAATTTTCAAAAAGGGAGATCACATGCAGTCTACTAACTACAGAGGAATTGCACTACTATCTATAGCTTGCAAAATCCTAAGCTAAATACTGCTAAGAAGACTGACACCATACATGAAAGAAGCCTTAGGTTTTCAACAAGCAGGTTTCAGGAAGAATAAATCAACAGTGGACCAGATGCATACTCTATGACAGATATTGGCAAACTGTTGGGAGTTTAATAGAGAAATACATTGACTGTTTATTGATTTTAAGAAAGCTTACAATAGCATAAACAGGAAAGCAATTTGGAGAGAAATAGAAAAAACAAGAATCCCAGAGAAACTAATAAGACTTACCAAACTGTGTGTTGATGGCTCAAGATGCCGAGTAAGAGTGAATGAGCAACTATCAGGAGTGTTTGAGGTAAAGACTGGCGTCAAACAAGGTGACTGCCTGTCCCCATTGCTTCAATTTAGTAGAAAGAGCCATAAGCAAAGATACAGAAATGGAAAAAGGAATTAAGTCAACGCAGATGATACAGTGCTTATACTGTAGGTCAAAGCGAACAAGAATTGAGAGACATGACAAGGGTTTTAGCGAAGGAGGCCAAAGGAGTTGGTCTAGAAATCAATATTGTTAAAACTAAGTATCTTCCTATAAGTGGATGAGGAACACATTTGGGAGGAGGGGTCCAAGAGAAAAATAGTATAGACGAAGAAATTCTAGCAAGTATTCAGGCTGGTAATAGGTCAAGATTTGCCAAGGGGAAAATTATGAAGTAAATACTGCTGTCACGAACATCCAAAAAGGACACACAAGGACAGGACACACAAGACAATAATTCAGCCAGTAGTACTGTATAGTGCAGAGCTTAGGATTCTCACTAAAAAGAAGGAGAAAAAACTCATGTTTTTTCAAAACAGTGTTTTAAGACAGATTTTTGGACCAGTGAAAGAAAATGGAGAAGAAGGAAAAACAGAGAATTAAGAGAGCTTAATAAGGACTCTGATATTCTTGCTACTGTCAAAGGAAGAAGACTACGGTGGTATGGTCATGCCATGAGAAGAGATCAAGATAAAAGAGGTAGTAAAAGAGAATATTGAGGGAAAGAGGCCAAGAGGAAGGCCTAGAATAAGATGGCTTGACTCAGTGAAAAAAGATGCCGGCAAGACGGATATTTAATGTAGAGGCCTGGAGAGATAGGATGCTCTGGAGGAGGCTAGTTGATAAGGTAATGGACTGGCTTCAGTTGGAGACACTGAAAAAAGTTAGTATGCCAAAGAAAAAAAAATGTAAAGCCACAAGCTTACGTGTGTTACTCATAACACATTATATCTCAAGCAATCTTAATTTCCTTTTTAAGATACAGTATTTAATATGGATTCTACGCCATCGTGAATAACCTTTCACGACAGGGCAAACTTACAAAAAAACACAAAGTATTTCCAAAACCAAAGTATTAACCAAAGCCTGCTTCTTTTCCAAACTCATGTCACAACAAGGATGGGCTAAAAACCTAAGGCAGCAGATAACAGAGCAATCCTACCAACAATAATAATATGGAATACTAAGTGAGTAGTCACGTGACTGAAAACCTTGTATTGCCTGCTGAGGCCAACAATTAATGTCCTCTTATACTATTGTAAAGTATGTTGGGTTTTTAATTCAATTACCAATTGCAGTACATCTTATTTACTTACAATGTGTAAATTAGAATATTTTACCTACAGAGTTATTTTTCATTTTTTATTTTTCTGGCAAATTCATTTTTCTCTATTACTATGTATTACCATGGTGAGGGGATTGTATAAAATTGGTCCATAAATGGGGAGAGCTAATAGTGTGACAAGCCATCTAATTAATTAACTTCTGGTTTCATGCAAATATCAATATAGGTATCAGCAACACAAAAACTAATGTCATAGCTAGAAGTGGATCAAGAACAGACCCTTGTGGGGTCATATGCCATACAGTATGTGACCAGCTTTGTAGAGCAGGAACAACAACCATTTTGATCATTTTATTTTCTAACACCTATTCTAAGATACTACAGAGCTGCTACAGTACTAAGCACTGAAAACCCAGACTGGTTTATTTTTATTTTAGTGATTATTTCATATAGCCAATGAGGAGACAAGGTGAGATGTAAGTTGAGATGCTGTAAGCTAGAGAGTGCATAAAGTATGCTTAGAAAAGGAATACAATTCTGTAAAACGATTCCAGAAATGATCAATTTTAGATTGAAAAACTATTGCACTGGACTGTAGACTCTTCTACGGTGTTGCTCTTATATATAAGTTTAAGTGAAAAAAAAATGGTTCTAAGATTACTCTTTCCTTCTTCTATTAGCTTCTGAACACAAGCTGATCTTGTGAGATTCAATACATTTCTGTAGGACTGCTGATGTTGCTTGAGGCCAGTGTCACTCCATCTACAGTAAGCTTACAGTACATCCATGACTTCATTGAGCAAAGATGATCATTATACCAAGGGGAACATCATGCACAGTAAATGGTGCTGATCTAGTTTTTTATGTCTACTAATATAAGAACATAAAATATAATGATTAAACCATACCAAATTAACATAATGCTGCAAAACTTCGACACTTTCTGAGCAGAAAACTGAACCTCTAGATAAAAAAATGACTGCATGAATCAAAGTGCCCAGTTGAACACCAATAACAAAACACCAAAGCTGTTGCCCAATCCAACCACTACAGTAGGTGTAATGCATATCATAAAAATATGAAAGATGATTATTATATGCAACTTGCATTGTTTCGACTGTGTCTGTTTTTTTTTCTCCGTTGAGTCAGAAATCCATTGAGTTGACTCTGTTAAAGCTTTGATTCAGAATACTTGAATCAAGTCCCCTTATAGTTTTGTCTGTGATTTATTAGCCTGTCCCTTTAGGACATTCTAATAAGCACAGGGGTCTATCTTGTTGCTGCTTCTGGTCTGATTCCACAGTAGCAAAAGTCTATAACAATTCTAAATCATAATGAATATTTTTAACAGAATATCCATTGCTTTTAACTACACATTTTAATGCTATATTTGTCATTGTATTTCTTCTCTGTGCTGTCTACAAAATTGAAATGATGTGACAACACCTAAGTCATTTTCATGATTTTTGAGTTAGTTGTTTCAGATTTTGTTTAATGTTTTGCTTCCTGCAAAATTCTGTAATGGTGAATACGTAATGTATGTAATCTTTCTCACTTGACTTTAAAACCATCCTTAAACAAAATTAAACAAATATACCAACCTATCCAAATTTCTAGGTGTGTTAATGTGGCGAACTATGCCAGTGAACAAGAAGATAAACCACTTCTCCTCCAAACATAACATGCAAATTCAGTGAATACAGCTGAAAGTGCCTGACTGACTATTTAACAGAGATCTAAGTGAAATGAAATAAGATTTGTTTACAATGTCCAAAAAAGGTCCTTCAAAAGAATAGTTCCATGTTGCTGCCTCCTTTCACTTTTTAATTAATGTAGGTTAAGTCATATTCGTGACCTAGCTTTTTATTATATTTATAGTCATCTGGCTTGAGCAATTTTATTTTTTTCTACAAATTACAATACAATTGTTATAAGCCAATTCTCTGTATGGCAAAGTTTGTCAGGACAATTTGTTAATATGACAGTAAGAAAAAGAACAAAAGTGTAGAGTTAAGTAGTGTAGTGCCTGAAACTGAAACTGAGTTGGTGTTATACGATTTGTGAAATGTGGTTTGAATTTATCTTAATTAGAAAAATATTAATCTGATGTTACAGGCAAAATTATATGGCCTTGTTTTGCAGACTTACATTAAATTGTTTAAACTACAATGATAAAAATGATGTAAGGCAAAATGTATTTTAATCACTATACCAGATATGTACTGAGATTATTACCAAAAAATAACAGCACAGATGTTAAGATATTTGACTCAAATATTTTAATTATTCAATTAAAAGAAAGAAGATCTACCTTTCATTATTTTTTTTCATTACCACTGATCATATATTTCTGACATGGTTACAAATCAATTGTCATTGCTATATTAAGGTTTAAAGTGTGTCTGTGACATGCCAGAGAAGTTCTACTTAAATTCTCATACTAGGTTAAGTATTTCACAGCAATCTGTGACTTTTCCAATTTAGAAAATCATCAGTACACTGAGGGATAACTCTAAACATGGGGTCAGATTGCATTTTTAAATACTGTAACACAACAGATCTTCTCTTCACTGATAGCAGTTGGAAGGTCTTCCAGCACTTAACTTCCCTAAGACATATCAAGTAAGAACATCATTCAGAGGATAATATAAAAATGGAAATTCTTATACTCAAAGGACTGGTCTCCATTTTTCTACTTGATCTTTGTAACTCTCAGGGTAAGTTGGCGATTTTGTCAGTATAATCATTTTTATTCTGTTGAAAAATATCAGAAAAGGAAATTAACAAAATAAAGTCAGATGGACTTTAACATATACTGTATAGAAAATGTATAAAACACACTGTAGAAGTGACAGAGATACGTCATATTAATTTTGAGATGTTATGGTGTTCATACTTCATCCTTAAACATAGTAAAATATTTATATTTTTCCCATTCCTATACTGTATATTGCATGTTTTTTTCAAGTTGCAAACATTTTTTTTTCAATTCAAATAATTACAATTACATGCAGTTTAATGGCTGAAATTGTTTGGAAATTAATAGCTATTGTAATTTGTGATGATACACTGAAATGACTTTGTAACCAATGGCCATGGGTTTAAACTTCCGTATAATACTAATATAGAATTTTGTGAACATATACAAAACAAATCTTATTTCTTCTGTGACACTAGTATTTTTTATTCCTATTTCCCAATTGCAGTGACTGTACTGGAGCCATACAGCAGCTCAGAGATCTCCATGACAACCCAAGTAGGCACAGCTGTGCCAGACAGAGAAATTGAAACAACTCAAGAGAGCGACAACAATGAGCAAGGTAATATCTAAACTCAATGCCATGGTTAAATTGTTTCCAGGATGTCTCCAAAGTGTGTTAAATTGTAGAATCCAAAGTTTTTTTTCTTCATAATTTGAAACACTTGTTTCCAGGTTTTAAACATTATAGTACTATGCTGACTTCTGAGAACAAGTTTCTTTCATTTTAAATAAAGTACATAAATAATATTCTACAAATAATATCAGGCCACATAAGTGTTTGTATTTTTTTCCAGCTAGAACCACGAAGATGCCAAAATAGTGTGAAACTAAAGAGAAAGTATATAAAGTGCCTGCCTATCACAGTGATATTCTAAAAATCAACAAAAATATAGATTCCTATCCATGTTAGACTTTCAATAGCAATTTAATGCTGCTTTTGCTGTAAAATTCAGTATAATTTTTAATTCTGCAGCACTTCTAAAACTCTCAGTCTTTTCATGTTCAAGATCTTTCGCATGTTCTTCAGAACTTGCCTTCATGAGAAAAAGTAAACACAACATAACATGCATAACATTCAAAACAGCTTAGATGGCTTCCTTTTACTTTAAATCTGTGTATGCTGTAAACTGCTTATGAGCCATGAGCCATAAAATAACGCCTGTCAAGTGCACATCTTCATAACTGTCAAGTTGGTATGATATATTTTCTCTTTATTTTTTTAGAACAGCAATAATCTCACTGACCTTAATATATCAATTCGATAAAACACAGAAAAAACAAAACAGAAACAATTGTTGGAAAATTCATATATACAATCTGCTTTTGCCTGCAATGTTTAACATATTTCACAATAATAATGCATCAAAAGGTTTCTATTCTGTTATATAACTTTCTCTTGTAACACTGAAAAAAGAAGAAACGCTTTCTTTCAGTTACCCTAAAATTAATATAAAAATAAACAGATAACAATAAAAAGTGTATATAAATGGAATGTGTAGTGTTTGGAGTATTTGACCATATTATTCTCTTTGAAATGCAGTATTATAAACCCTTCTAAAATAAAGATGCCCTTTAATCATTCACTAAGTCTTTGGTATTTTTAGACTTTCTGTCTTATAGCTGGAGAGAAGGAATGTGAACCTGCTAAAGCAAGAGCATAGGTCAGGGTTTTAAAAAAGATCCATTGTAAAAACATCAGATGACGCCTTATACTGTACCTACTCTTCTTCCTCTTTTAAAAAGCTGAGTAATCCTGTATCCATTTTTACAGTCAGTATTACCCAGTTTGAAGGAAAAGCACATAAAAACCTCTCTCTAACCAAAATTTAACTTTCTGATTTTTTTTTAGGAATTATTTCTCTAATGTTTAACTTTTAGGTTTTTTTTTTGTCCTTTACAACCCAATTGTGAATTGAATATCAAACCAGAATCGTACAGTGCATATTGACTATTGTTACAGTATATCTAAAAATATAAGCAAAAACTAAATAATTCCTTTGTTGTTCTCAGATTTGATATATCTGTGGCCTTCTAATTAACATACTGTATAAAAAAGTTGAGGGAGATATTATGGTGCTAAAATGTTCTTTGCCTCCACCCCCAAAAATACAGATTTTCTTATAAAAATTGAACTAAAACAAGTTCATTTTAATGTTATATAAAAGGGCTATTGATGTTTAATTTCATTTGTGTCTTTCAAGATCTTTTGAAAGCCTCAGTGTAATTTACATTCGGATGCCAAATGTCTGCCTTGTGTCACAGATTTTGCTCCAGCCCCAACTGAAACCTACTTGTTACCTCAGTCACAAGCTCCTGAGATATTCGGCTTACATGAAGAAGGTAACAAAATGGCTGGAGAGATCAGGGAAGAGTCGAATGACTTCAATGAGATTATTACACCCAAAGATGAACTTCTGAACCCAGAAGAAATCAAGCCCATGCCTACTCTGGACAACTCTGTAGAGGAAATCCCAGTAACCCTTTTGCTCCCCCTTTCAGATGAGGATGGAAACAGAGATATCTTAGACACAACAACCTATGATACACGTAACGGTAAGAAAGGAGGCTATGGTGGTCTTAATCATGCATACAGCATCATTGCGATTAGTGAATACCTTAAAATAATGAGAGAAAACAAACTTAAAATGCAAAGTATTATACACTGAGAAGCATAAAAATGCAATAAATTCTTTTGGTCTCAATATTCATCTGTTACATTTTTAATACCTCTCTTTATATAAAGATTCATATATTCAATTAAGACCTAAAGCTCCTGATATTTTATTTTCCGCAGATTATTTGAAATCAGTGAGCACGTGTTAATCTGCTTAAATATGATTCCGTATTTTAGAAATGAAATTAATAGATTTCATAATTTAACAAATACAGAATAGAGGTAAGGAAGGGTCAGAGACTGAGAATGATTAACTTAATGGCTTTGGCCATAAAAACTGCTTTATACTGTATATGTATTATTTTCTTCATGTGGCGAAACTCACCAGGATAAGCAGCATGATGACAATGGTTGGATGGGATTTTCTTCTTCTTTTTTAAGGTTTAATTAAATTCTTGGCATCTATGGACTACTAATCTACTAAATGCAAAAACCCGGAAAGGGGAATATAAGGATTAGCCCAATTAAAGTAGTAGCTTTACAACTGGTGATCAGATTATGTTCGTATGCTTTAGTGTGTGTGTGTGTCCATATTTTTCTTTAAGGACTACACTTACAGTAACTGTGCGTTGCCCTTTCAGTTTTAACAAAGATGTCAGATTACAGAAGCAAACATCTAATGATGAATCAAAATAAAAAAAATGCCAAATTTTATAGAGAAGTGCAAATGCCAAAGTGATATTTGTGACTTTAAAATTTAAAGAAACATATTTAACCACAAAGTAAAAAGCATCTTCCTCTTTTCAGAGGTGGTTGCCTTAGGCCTTGAGGCTTGGAGGTTTGGAGCAATTTCTGCAGCTGTTCTCTTGGTCTTGGAGACAATTGTGGTTATTGTTTATTGCTTGAAGTGCAAGAAAAGAAGAATAAGGTAATACTAGTAATTTACTGCAGATGATTAACAACTTTACACATTACAAAAATTGATACAAAACTGGGGCTAACTGATACATACAGTAATAGTAAAAATAAAACCTGCTAAATATTTAAATAATTCCTTTGTGATTTATATAAAATACTGTATATGTTAACATTGTATATGTATTTTAAACAATGCATTTAAAGTGACTCATTAAGATTCTGAAATGACTCAATTAGACTCAAATATTCAAATCAATATAAAATTCAACGGAAAATAAATACTATAATTTAATTTGACAGTTTTATCTGTTTTTCACAGATTTAAGTAATGTTGCATGTACTGTAACTATCATAATTTACAGAAGGACAATGGCAGTCAAAATGATTGAAGACAGTGAAGCAGCAGAAACAATTCATGGAGAGTCCAATGAAAACACGCTCACTGGTGGGGATGTTCAACCAAACCAGTAGGCACAAGTTCTGTTCTAACAAATATGCACACATACTGTAAAAGCACACAAATCAGTCAGTATTTATTCTATCCACCAGCCTTTCTATATATCTTCAGGAACTAACCCAGTTCGCAATAGAAACCTGGCATCTAGTGTTTTTAAACCTGGGACTTCAAAGGAATGCCAATACTGTGTTTTTATTATTGCACGGGTTTCTTGAGATCTTCTTGGAAGGTGTTGTAAAACGTTCCTTTCAACAACACAAATGCATTTCAGCTATGTATTCTTTGCTTAATAAAACTGCACAGAAAAAGGCTTTAGAGTGCCTCATGCCCAGCACAGATAGGGCTCTACTATCCTTAATCATTTTGAACATGGATGACATTAGCATTTAACTATGTACTGTATAGTGCTGAAGTGAGAAATACAGTACACTACTTGCAGAGCACCACCAGGGTGTTGTTGGGGGGAATTTTCTCTAAACCTTACAGAAATAGCAAAATTTGTTTCTTCCCAGGCTCTTGGAGGTCACCGGAAAATAACTGGTGAAGGAAAATACTTAATGACATTATCTTTAGGTTTGAAAACTTGCTTTTTGAATGGAGTCCACCCATCCACATGCGTACTTTCCCGTGTTAGTATCTTGGCATGGTAACGCTTGAATTTTTTTTACCACGGGTGAAAAAACAAATGGAAAAATGTATTATTAATTAATTTTAAATACAAGATGTAACTAAATTAGATGTAAAAACCTGTTTGTATGAATTTGTGTTTTAGAGAATGTTTATTTCGTACACAGAAATCATATGATACAGAAAGGTATTAGTCATATTACTTGCAACATTTTTAATGGTTTTAATAATGCCCTTGAGGTAACTTATTAGACTTTGAAATATACTGTCATTTTAATTTATTAACCAATAGTATGACAGTCTAAGGGGCAGTAGTGGTTAGCATTTATTGCTCCCTTGCAGGTCGGGGCCCTGGGTTAAATTCTAGACCTGGGTTGTAATCTGCATGGAGTTTGTTCGTGTGGGTTTCCTCCCAATAATTTGCTTCTGGAAAAGCTGGCCTTGGTGCGTCTGTGTTTCTGTCTGTGTCTGCCCTGACATCCCATCCAGGGTGTACCTTGCCTGGTGCCCATTGCTTGCTGAAATAGGCTCTGACTGCCCTGTGACTCTGAATTGAAAAGGGGGTTAGAAAATGGATGGATGGATGAAAGCCTAAGGTACTATAAATATATGCTGCTATGATATTTCATCTATTGTGCTGTTTTAGCCAATTGATTTTTTGTTTTACTTTTTAAGAAGACGTTGCATGATGATCTCTAATTTATCCATTCTGACTTCTTTAGTATATTATTTTACAGCCCTATATTTGCAGGGACACAAAATAAAAATGAATAAAACTCAACATTAAAAATTATGTGGGTCAATGAAATATTCCAATAAATCTGTTCTGTACTGTGAAGGCATTTTTTGTCTTTCCCCAGAACTGCGTCAAATGGTTCATGTGAGGTGACAATACCCAAAGAAAAACAGGAAATAAAAGCCGACATTCTTCTGGATTCCCTTTCAAGGGATGCTAGTCTTTAGGACAAACCACATGATGTCAGAACATCAGCGCTTTAAAGGTCTACATTGTAGCTTTATACTCAGTTTCTTTATTAAAGTTATGAGTTTGCACTCAACTGAAGAAATTATGTGTTCGTCTAGTCTTTTTTGAATAACGACTAGTTTACACTTATCTACTATAAACCAAACAAACTTAATAGACCAAATGGCTTCCTCTCATTGTGTAATGTTCTTGAATGCAAACACAGATATAATGAATGGTAATGTATAAGGGCACATTTTTATTTTAAAGTTGTTTTTGGCTATATTACTTTTAGAATTTAAGTGTGATTAATGACTTACAAAATGATTTTAAATAGATCTATGAAGACGGTTACAGAAATCTACTTTAAAAAAATCTATACAGAAAAAATACAGAAAAATATAAAAATTGCAAAATACAGATGCATTGTCTTAATTATCTTAGAATTTAATACAGTAAAGTGTTATTGTTTTGGAGGTTCACTGACTTTATTGTTTCCTATTTGGTTTATATTATAAACTACTTGTATTTCATTTGGTTTTCTGTATTATATAATTATTTTATTGTTAGTAAGACATGTTTTATTACATTAAATTAGCATTTTCAGCATTTTCTCATCTTCAGAATGTTTTATTATATTGTATATCCATGTATGCATGTACAATACATTATTTCCTTGTGTTTTTCAAGAAAAATATAAAATTGTCAAGCAATAATCCATTTTAGCATATCAGTTTCAGAGATCTGGCAGACTTGTCATTCCAGAATTGCCTCTAGGGAAAAGAGAACGTGAGGTTAAAAGAAAATAAAATTGAGACTACAAAAGAGAAGCTTGTTATGTTATTCATTGCAATGTAATCTTTAACATCCAAAGACCATTCTAGCTCTAGAATGGTGTAGAAATTCCTAGAAATCAATATAATAGGCTAAGAAATTCTTCTGATCCATTTATGAAAACTGTCTAACTGACCATGAGATAATGTCGGTAAAAGTCTGCTAAACAAAATCTTTGTAATTTTTTTTCTGAATGAAATCATATGAATAACAACCATATAGTATAAATCCTGAAAACTACGTAACTACAGTAAATTCATTGTTTTGTTCAGCAACAAGATTGCATTTAATACCTAGGGTATTGTATATGAAACATAAAAATAAATGACTTCTTCACACCAAATCTCTTAGTTCTCTTACAACTTTTGACAAACCTGTTGTTGAACCTCAAATATTTTTCAACAACAACACTTTTACAGTAAATCTGTGTACTAACCATGTTACGTCCCAGTGTGTTTATGTAATAAGAGTTTTTTCAATTGCAATTGCCAGTTTAGTTTTTTATAATATCCTAATGTGAAAATCCCAATTGTCCAAGCACGTATTGCTTCAACCTTTGTAAAAGCACAGAAGGGTTGATGACACATGCTCTCAGGATATGCAGCTTCTATCGCACAGCATCTACAGCAGAGATAGCATCTGGATTGATATGACTCAGCATTACAATGCATGCACAAAAACAATAAGCAAGCCATAAGAGTTACTATTGCATTATAAAGTGAGGAGACCTTCTAAAATTTCCAATTTTCCTTTGCAAAGTGACACTCAGCCTCCGCAAATTGTGTGTTGCAGTACATTAAACTTCAATGACAGACTTGTAAAAGATTAGGATTGGTTTTAACTGAAACACCTGTGGCGAATGAACCCTGCAAAGAATTGTCCATCATTGTCTTCTATGGTCTTCTTCTTCTTCTTCTTCTTCTTTTTCACAGCCTTAGTCCCAGACTGTCCTGGGGTCAGCTGCTTTGGTTGCTCTTCTCCATTTGTCTCTGTCGAGCACATCTTCCTCACTCACTTCACATACCTCCATATTT